TATATATATATATATATATATATATATATATATATATAATTAGCGAGTTATCATATTTGTAATGTGTGATGTAATTAAATTAAACTAACAAATTTTTAAAGCAACAAGATGCTAATTCCATCAAACACCATGGGTTACTTCTTGTTACTTGAAAGTCTTTTCAACACTCCCTGCTAGCAAACATGTCCAGTTCTTAAATCTTAGTTATTAACAAAGTAAATTTTGATGTGACGCAAAACTTGATTGCACCTTAACATTCCTTCTACAACCCATCCGCTGGCTTGAACTTGGCCATGGTGGAAAGCTTATCCACTGCCTCTATCAAATGGTCAACTCTTGCCACAAACTCAACCAGCGAGGAAGTGAAGTTAGCCAATGACAATATTGCAGTACTCTCTAAGGAATCCACTATCTTTATGCTTTTCTCACCATCTTCTTCAAATGCATCCACCTCTCTAGATGGCCAAGAATATAGTCTTTTCAATTGCTTCCTTGTTATCTCATGGTAACATTCTAGTTGTTCTACCACCTCCCTCTGATCTGGTAAATGGTAGGTGTGTGCAAAGGACTTTGATGGGTTATCAATTTCAAAAGTAGATGTGAGTATATAATAATATTGCAAGTACATGGAACGTTGTAGCCTCTTAGTAGAGCTATGAAGCCTCTTAATGTGGGAGTTTTTCGGACTCCACTTCATACAACTAATGTCTCTTCCCAAAATCCTTACCAGTTCTGCAGCCTCGTTTAATGCCTCTTGGATTTCTGATTGGAACACAACCCGCAATTTGTAGGGTACCTGAAAACAACCGTTGATTAGAAGAGTTTCACTACACTGAACGAAGGTGATGGAACCATACATGCAAGATATATGCTCAAACTACTTTATAAGATTTTCTTGTTCACAAACCAATGTGAACTCCTTTATCATAAATAATACGACACTTGAAATATTCTTATTGATTAATGGAATACTATAAACACAATTACATTTTAATTGGACACGGGATGCACACCAACAACATGTACATACTCTAAAGCAGGAAAAATTATTAAATAGTTTAAGGTGTTTATAGTATCAATCAATCTTTATATAATATGTATTTAAGTTTTTTCAATTTAGGAGAAGGAATTAATAACACTTAATTACATATCATGAAAAGACTAATTAGAGACCATATGATTTAAGATCACCTAATAATTTCTCCAAAATTAAATAAGAATAAACCTGAATTTCTGCATGTACAATGCTTTGGAGTGCCACAACTTCATAAGCACAGTATTGTAAGACCACCCCAACTTTCACATATTGTGACCATGGATATGAAAAGTGCATGAATCTACCATGTGGTGGTTCCCATTTTGCTGATTTAGCCTTACAATTAGAGAAAAAAGACAACACATCATTTCGATCGCCAGTTGAAAACTGAAAACTAAACAAGTAGTACTATTTTAATGAACACTACATACCAGAGTCTCAAGCTTTGATCCTGAATTTAAGATATTTTGACATCTCTTATAAGTCGGTTCGTTTGAAAATTCATTTGTGCTAGTTGTGATGATTGTAGACTTCTCTGACTCATCTTCTAAATATTTCTTAACGCATTCTATTATAAAAAATGAAAAGAATATATTATACACGTTAGAAATCTCACATCAATTAAATATATGACTAAAATAATATATATAAATAAGAAAAGATATTAATCTTAAAAGTTATTTTATAAATTAAATTAAACTAAATTCATATTAATAGTATCATAACCTATTTGAACGAGGCTCATACTCACATTAAGTTAAAGGGTAGATTCCAATTTAACTTTTCAAACGGAATTATTTAGTTGATTAATTAGTTTCTCTTTTTTTATTCACATAACCATAAACATAATTATTTGACTTCCCATTTTTGTTGGAGCTGAGGTACCTTACTTACTTACCCTCAAGTGAATCTGCCACTGAATGGAAGTTTTTGACGAGTTCTTTATGTAGGTTGTCCCCTGCCCATTTAGGAAAAACAGAAACATTGACCAACACTGATATTATTCCTCCAATGGCGATTGAATACAACCGATCGATCATAGTCCTGATTGGGTTACCCATTCTATAATCTGAAACTATGATCAAGCAATACGTTAACAGTGCCACCCTAAACCCATACTCATACTGCACAAGCGGTGGCCACGTTTTCATGTATGATGTTATGGCCGCTGCATATCAAAATATCACATCGATCATTAAAACACCATTCATATTAATTCGTTACTTTTGGTAATTACTAATTAACCCACGTGCTTCTTTTATTTATATTTATGTATGACAAAGTTAGAGAACATGGAATTATAATTACCAATCATGAAGATACTAAGGCCAATGATAAAAGGCTCTGCGACATGGCCACTGGACAGCGCTGTCTGAGCAACAGCAATGGCCAAGATTCCCGCCACCAAGGTTCCCAGTGCTCGATTAAATCCTCGATTAAATGTTGCACCTTTAAAACTCACAACCATCAACCATGTACCCATCAAAATTCAATTTACAGAATACAATGATATATATGCATTAATTAATGTTTACATGCAATAATGTAGCAACATACCAACGTTGTCCTCGCAGACAAGGACAGCAGTGAGAATCGCCCATACGATATTGGGCCCAAAGACTTGGTATGGGGCTTCAAATAATATAAGCAAAGACACCAGAAGAACTGCTAGCCCAACTTTGAGTGCAAATATTTCATTGCCCGTGTCTTCCTTGCAAAAATCCCATACACTCTGAATCTGAAGCCAACCTTTGATTGCTCCAGATTTCTTGTTAGTATCATGCACTTCAGGCTTAGTAGGAGCACATGTAGGAATGTTAATTTCAATGCTCTCTATTTTATTGTTCATTCTTCACAATAATATAAGTACAAGGCTCTTAAGATTATCAAGAGCTCCTTAATTTACGCGTATATCAATGTTAATCAAAGTAAAACAACTAAAAATAATGAAGTGGTCATAATAGCTTGAGCCCAGTATATATATGGATATGTATTATGGTGGAGTGCGGCAAGAATGAGAATTTTTTTAGCAGTACAGGCCTACAGGATATATGTAATAGAAGGTTTTTTATTTTTTATTTTTTAATTTTTTAATTTTTTAATTTTTTAATTAGTAAAAAGTTTAGATTAACATAATGCATGAGTCGATTATCAATTTCTTTAAATTAAAAAATTTAATATAATTATTTATCTCATCCTCAATGTAAGTTCGTTATAAGAGAAGTTAAATTCAATCTCAATCCTAACTAACAGGATATGGAATAAAAGATTTGATACGAATACCATAATAATTTTAGAGAAGAAGCGGAGCTGAAAACAACATAGAAAAAGAAGATGCCTAGCCTCTACAATACTCCATGCATGCATGGATGAAATTAGAATCTGAAATTTCAAGATAATGCAAGTGTCTGTCGGCAGGACCCCACGGGAATCTCAAGGAGATTGAGGTTGCCTTAGGCGCCCAATTAAATAATTTTCATTTTTTTTTGTAATTTTATTTTATCATCATATGATATATTATTTGTTATATTATTTTCATAAATAAGCATAAAAAAATAATATTATTTTCATCATTAAGATTACACAGTTTTAAGATAGGTAAATCATTTTCCCCTAAAAAAAAAAAGATTGGTAAATCATTTAAGTGTAATTTTATTATTTATTTAAAAAAAGTTAAGGAAAAGTATTTTACATCTATTTTGAACTCTACCTCCCTCACCCACCAAATAAGACTTTTAAAATTAATATAGAACTTATATTTCATGAATAAATGTTTGATCTATAAAAAAAGACATTGTAATGAAAATGTTAGTCAAAAGATCACACATTTAACTAAGGATTCTCTTCCTATTGATTATTTCGTATATATAATAGATCAATTTACTTCTATTGAAAGTCAATTTGAATCTTAAAAATTGAAATCTTTGGATGAGGATGGATTAATGAAATATTATATTAATTTTGAAAAGATTTTAAGTTTTAGTGAATATTATAATATTGAAATCTTGATTTATTTTAAAAAATGATGATAATAAGTGGAATTACAATGGCAACATCAGGGTTTAAATTTAACATTATGTGCATACTACCCTAATCTCACCACTAAAAATGTTATATTATATCAAAGGATAACATTTTTTTTTAAATATATACATTGCTTCTAAAATATTATTGACAATAGTTGTAACAGTTAATTGTTCCATTTGCTGGCCCTTTTTTATTTTTATTTTGTATTCACATTTTTTGGGTTATGCTACTTCCTGGTTGGTTGACTTGCTCAAACATGGTATGATATAATGATAATATATTTCTTATATATATACCTGCACACATATACCACTGCTTTTCTCTTGTTCTGTTCGCTTCTCTTTTTTCTCTGATATGGAGTATTTGAGCCATAACTTTCTTGGAAATTTGCTTTATTTGAGTCAACCAGTCATAGTAAAATGTTATGTACTCCAGATCATCCTTGGATGAGAGAAGATGGAGCATCTGATAAGCCTCTAGATATTGCTGTTTTAACCAGAATGAAACAATTCAGGGCAATGAACAAGCTAAAGAAAGTAGCTCTGAAGGTAAATAATCTTTTATCATCATTTTCGTTGTACCGATCAATATTGTCATTATCAAGCTTTTAGTAAATATCTAGAGTTACCAATATGTCGAAAGCCTCAAGGATTGGAAGTGGTATATATCAATAAATTGCCAAATTAGTTAATAAACAGGGAGAAGGAACTCATGCTGAATTAGATCAAAGGATTATGTATGAAAGTTCTTTATTTTATTACAGGTTATTGCTGAAAACCTTTCTGAAGAAGAAATCATTGGCTTGAGGGAAATGTTTAAATCGATGGACACAGATAACAGTGGAACGATCACTTTTGAAGAGTTGAAAGCTGGTCTGCCAAAACTGGGTACTAAGGTTTCTGAGTCTGAAGTAAGGCAGTTGATGGAAGCGGTAAGATTTCTTCTATTTTGTTTGATTACACCCTAGCTTGGTGGAGTAAATTTTTGGTACTCCTGTAATACCTGCACCCATGCAGTTATTTTCTTCGTTTGGTAACTTTTTCTTTTTTCTTATTTTTAATTTTAAAAAGAAAGTTAAATCTGGAAAAAAAATAAATCCATAAGGGTATTACTTTTTTAAGGTAAAGAGTGTGTACTGTCAATGGAGCACTGGAAAATTTCCCTAGCTTGGTGGTGCATGCAGATGATCTAGTCTTTGCTGGATGATAATCAGCAACAAGGTTATTGAATCACAATTCATATTGTTGAGAGAGACAACAAAAGTATCTTGAAATATATCATATAAATGATGTATACTGTATAGTGCTTAATGTAATAATTTTAAACTAAAAAATGACCGCAAGTCTCACAAAACAAAATCATAAGCCATAACCCAGTGTGTGAAAACTTTATTTTGGAAGACAAAAAATAAAAGCAAGGGAATGGAATAGCCAAATATAGACGGTTTATAGAATCGAAGGAATGAGTGATAGTGAGAAACCTATTTTAGAAGGGGGAAAATACATATTTGAATAATCAAATAGGATGTGTTCAAAAGTGTTCCTTCAGTCCCATTTCATTTAACTGTTTAAGCTTATCAAACAAAAGCCTAATACCACTAAGTGAGGTCGACATTTCATTTTATTTGTTACTTTTATATAAATTAAGCTTCTTAATTTTTTAGAGCATTTCACTATTTCAGAGTGTGTTTGGATTCACCTTCTCCTTCCTTTTAAGGAGAAGGGAAGCTCAAAAAAAGCTGGGCTAAACTAAGATTAGCTCTTCTCAGCTTTTATGCTCTCGGTTGATGACACCCCTACTGTCTTGACGATTATCTGTATCCAAATTTGCTTGTGAGGACGATGACGAGTAGTGCTTGAAAATGCTGTGTGAATTTACAGAATACCCTTACTGTTCAGTGAAATTTTATGATCATATTGGTATAACAATGCTGGGAAAATAGTTGGATTATATCTTTTGAGCACTGCTTAATATTGTGATAATACGTTTACCATTTCTCTTGATTTCAATGATGGTTTTTCTTCCACTATAATGATGAAATAATTATTTGGTTCTCAGGCTGATGTAGACGGAAATGGAACCATTGATTATATTGAATTTATAACAGCTACCATGCACATGAATAGAATGGAAAGAGAGGACCACCTATATAAAGCTTTTGAATATTTTGACAAGGATAGAAGCGGGTAATCTCTTTTTTTGGATCAAAATCCTCTCATTATTTAACTAACCTGTCAAGGTCATGCTAAGGGAGAAAAAATGGCACAATTAAAATTAATGAGTCATACAAAAAATAAAGATGGGCCTTAACTATGGTTTTGTGTCCCTCCCGACCCGTTACATGAAACATGACTTTCTCATGTTAGTGAGTAAACTTGAGAAGATCCTGGATTCCTTTTTAGTATACGAACCGTACCATCTTAATTAGATGTTGAATCATATGTTGCTTTCATGTACCTGCCTCTGTTATCGTAGGTACATCACAATAGAAGAGTTGGAGTCTGCCCTTAAAAAGTATAATATGGGTGATGAGAAAACAATAAAGGAAATCATTGCTGAAGTCGATACAGACAATGTACGCTGCTATCTTCATTATCTGTGTTCCCATCGATGCTTATCCGATGGTGAAAATTTAGCTGTTTGTATATTCTCTATGCTTAATTGATATTTTAATCATCCATTCCCAAATTTCTCAGGATGGAAGAATTAACTATGACGAGTTTGTTGACATGATGAAGAAAGGTAATCCAGATTTAGCAAGCAGACGTCGCAAATAATTACATGGACTACGTTGCATTATTCAACCCTCTTTACTCACACGTTGCTATAACAATGTATTTCTACTAATTTGCGGGTCTCGGGGGACAATTTACTATCGAATTTGTAATTTTTTAACGTAGGGAATTAAATTTTAAGATGGTGATTCCCCCGCCCCCAATCCCCGGTCATGTAGTATATGTTTATTTTGATTTCATTGAAGTAACATTTATATTCCTGCTCTTGCATACACCATCGAAGTATATTAATTCTGTACAAACATAACACCAAAGATAAAATTGTAGTGTTATAAAGTTCACAATCAAAAATGTGAAGTGTGGCTACCATTGGCCTATGAAAAAGAGATATATATACAATCCTTTAGTCTTCAGCAAATATTTAAATCCAATCAAACTTGCGTAATTTTGCTTCAAAATTATGATAAAGTTAATTGGAATTGACTCCTATAGCAACACATTTTCATTTCCTCCCCATTTATCCCCTATAATAATTTTTGCGAGTTTCCATTGATATTTTATAATTGCAAATAAATGAAAAGAGGGAAAGAAAATATTAGGATTTATTTGTCTTTGTACTTCTCTTTTAGTATTGAATAAATTTAAAAGAAATAAATAATGACTTATAATTTTGTGGCTATATTAAGTATTAACTAAATTGATCTTAGACTATTATGTTGATAAAATAAAATATAAAAGCAAATTATTTTAATTTGCCTTTATTCTCCTTACATTGTTGATAAGAAGGGGGAAAATATAAGCTATTTTCCCAACACTGTTATAATTTAGTTATCTCAAATAATTTTTTTTCGCTTTTTTTTTAAGGACATTGTTTTTTCTCGACCGGTGAATTTTCTCTCTTCTTCCCTCCTTAAACTAGATAGTATGTAAATTTCAATAAGAACCTTCTTAGTTATAAAAGAAAAATAATGCATTGAGCTAATGATAACATGATATGTAGCACATATTAAATTGTAAATTTAATGATTCCCAAAATAAAATATTGATTTTAAGATATATGGGGGAACATATAACATTGTGTGATAAAAATTCATTCATATATTATAAATTTAAGCTTTTACTCTTACATGTGATTTTTTTCATTTACTATTTTTTTAAGCTTACGACTTTATTATTATTTAATATTATTTATATATTTTAAAATTTTCAAATTATTATTTGATGTCAATCATTTTATTTTTGTTGAACTAAACAATTCCTAACCAAAAAATTAAGAATTGATCTTTTGAGATTCTAAAATTTATTTAAAGGGTTGATTTCTCTTCACAAATATTTTTTATACATATTCATCAAGAATTGAATTTCTAACCACATGCGTAAGTGACATGGTTAATCTACTCAAGATTTCAATTTGTTTATGTTAATTTGTTAATTCTCAAATTAACAATTTAAAAATCTTATATTATTTTTTTTCTTGTTAAACTCTTAAAATCTATTAATATTGTTCTTGTTAAATCTAAATATTTTTATTAATTTATTTGATTTGATTATACATATTTTTAAATTTGTATATTATATATATTTTAAAATTAAAAAATCCACCAAATAGTTGTTAGTTCCACTTGGGAGGCAATTTGAAGTTCAACTAAGAATTTGAATGTGCTATATTCATTTAGAAATTATGGGATCCTAGAGTTGGAGATATGCCATACTAGCATTAGGTGCCATAAATTAGCATTTTGTTAAAGTTAAAAATAAAGCGTTAAAAGAGTGACACGTAACAAAATAGGGATATGAAGAAATAGCGGGAACTGAGGTATCGCCGTTTATTTCGCACTCAAACAAACAAATACCATCACAGACACGCTTTCCTTAAAAAAACATCTTTCGCTATTTCTTGATTCCTACTTCTTTTCCCCATGTCGGGGATTCACAAACTAACTTCTGCGGTTACTTTTTTTTTTTTAAAATAAAAAAACATGTGTGTTGTTGTGTGAAAGGAAAATAATTAACAGCGATGGAACATAAAAACGTATTGTTATCGGCGCTGAGTGTTGGGGTGGGAGTGGGAGTGGGCCTTGGCTTGGCTTCTGGACAAAAACGGGGTGCTAATGACAATCCATCCTCAAACGCCGTTAATCCTGAGAACATGGAGCACGAAATGCTTCGACAAATTATCGATGGCAGAGATAGCAAGGTCACTTTTGATCAATTCCCTTATCATCTTAGGTATGTTGTCCCCTCCATCATTTCTTTTCTCTTATCTTTTCCTAACATGCAACCATTTCTCTTAATCTATTATGTGCATGCAAACCTCAACAATTCATATTTAATTATTCAATCCATATTTTTTCCCTAC